GTAGTCTTGAGAGAGTACAATCTACACTTTAGTAATGTAGCCGTGAGAGGGTACAATCTACACTGTAGTGATGTAACCATGAGAGGGTACAATCTACATTGTAGTAATGTAGGCATGAGAGGTTAAATCTACACTGTAGTAATGTAGCCATGAGAGGGTACAATCTACACTGAAGTAATGTAGCCATGTGAGGGTACAAGCTCCCTTGAAGTAATTTAGCCATGAGAGGGTACAATCTACAGTGTAGTAATGTAGTCATGTGAGGGTACAAGCTCCCTTGAATTAATGTAGTCATGTGTTTTAACCTTTTGTTGATATATTGAAGATACCCTTTATTTGTGTTGTGCCTCGGAGGTTCCATATGTTCTTTTCGCAGTCAGATACTCTTTCCGTCTGGTTTTCTTGACACATCAAAGCCATTTCGGTTCGGTGTTCAAAGCCATTTCGGTTCGGTGTGACGTCAACTTGATCCCAGACACTTTCGACAGCCCTAAGTATGTTTTCTCAATGCGAATAGAGAGTAAATTTCAGAGCATTTTTGTTTAGATCTCTCTCCAATCAATATCGAAGAAGATTTCTTAAACTTTCTATATTATTGTGTATTTGAATTAGAAACAGGCTCATTTAAAAGTACAGCTTATAGCTAACCAAACATTTATTCATGGCAAGATTACTAACAGTAAAATGCTTAACTTACAAAAGTGATATAATTTATAGCATATCATCTATTTTGAAATATTAAAAGTTAGATATTTTATATAGCGTATATGTTATCTCATGTAATATAATTTCATTTATTAAATAAGGAATATATATATATGTAAATATATCTCATGTAATAATAGTTATCAAAGAATTAACATTAAAAGCGAGAAACTGATTGCTCCTCTAAGCATCATTCGGAACGCATCTCTCGGTATTAGGCAAAGTAATAGGATACGTTCGATAAACGGAGCAGTGTAACCTGTATTTACTTCTCTATGGAAAAATTATGGGTTATATCAATCTTTCAAAAAACGCACCCGTGATATGTCCAGAATGATGCTGGGGAGAAATCAATTTCTCTATTTTAAAGGAAAGAAATCTTGTTTAATATAAGATATTTTTCTTACAAGGTGGTCGACAGATAGTGGATTATCAGTCACTGACGTATCTGTCCGTAATCTTGTAGCTGGAATTTATTCTGGCAGGGTTCACACGAATTACTAGTTTAAGAATAAATTATCTGACGTAGTCAAACGTTGTAAATCTGTGACGTAATATTATATTTGTATAGGTACCTTTCTCCTTTACTGTATTTCTACATATGTTTTGGAATACTGTCGGCAGGATTTATTCCTATGATTATAATACTATTGATGAGTCCCAAATGGATGAAATGATGAAATGTCACAGGAAATTGCTTTGCCTGGCTTTTTGCACCAACCAACTAACACTAAAATTGTGTTTCCCGACTTCGTATTTCGATTTATTGGTTATAGGGACGAGATAATAATGATATAGAAAGGCTTTTATATATAAGATTTTCTATACGAGATATAGAGTATTAAATATCTTATCTCGTTCTATTTATAGATAAATTTATCTGATGTAGTAGATAAGACATTTCATATACTATATAATTTATAACTTATTCTATATGAAATTGAATTATAGAAGATTTCTGATATATTATATACGATATTTTATATATATATATTTACAAAGATACCTCTATTCTGCATGAGATATTTGATGTATTATTTATTTATTTTGATACAAATGCTTGCTGTTGTCGGTACAGTTATATAATTATAGATATCGACCTTTGTATGACAAATTGTGTCCTGAATAAAACATGTTCTGATTCAAAATAAATGAGTTAGATATCATAAAAATACATGTAAACCAATAAAAACCGGTCTAAAATGATCAAATTAAATGTCATCCCATACTTACATAGCAGTGTTATTGAACACCAACCTTTGTTCCGCTGGAATAATTTCTGCTAATACTTATGCTTGTGTTAGCGACCAGCAAGTGATATGTATAGAAAGTTGTTATACACAAATGCCTAAAAATATATATGTTGTTCCAGTTACGATAAAACCCCATACCAATTGTATTAAAAACCTGATAAAATATTTAAAAAAAAAATATTATCCAGACACTTACTCTATTTACTGTAAAATGCTGTATGAAACATTTGGTATATATGTATTTATTTCATTGAATATTACCTATATATTGTGTGTTAAATCAGAAAGAAAACCCGAAACACTGCTGTACGACTTCATAAATAGGTTTATTTGCATCTGAAATAATGTTGATTATTGACATCGAAGTAATAAGTGAAACATAATGAAACAATATAACAAATCTGGTACAATACATTCACACTTCGTGGTGGGTATCTTTATTCTATAGATGTAAGTTTCGGGGATTAAAATATCACAACATACGCTAACATGATACTTAGCAGTTCTAAGATCGTAGGCAGGTTTCCCGCTGGCTTTTGGGTACTTAAAGCATCATAAATATGACTTGCCTGTTGCTATATATTAAACATATATATTAGTGACTAAATAGGACATGACTAGCACGTTATAAAAGGCAATCGCACTGCATTTCAAAACTCTTAGAAACCCAATCCCTCCAGATCGGTTATACAGGCGCCATAAGATTGTTATGCGTTGATACATGACGATTCATGTCCAACAGGTAAAACAGGTGTTACATGTGCCTTGTTTTGGAGAATAAAATACAGGTAAAGTAATTATATTACCTTTATCAGTTTATCGGGTCAATCCTGTAAAAATTATGACAGGCGAATGATAGTTTTACATCGAACCCTATTATTTTGAATTTGGTATTATTTTTGTTGTACGTAGAAAACTGAATAAGTATTACTGGAATACTTTAACGCTATGTACATGTCCAATATTGAAATATTGCCAAAAGGCAGCGGGACCCATACGTTATATACGATTCTTTAAAACACACCTCAATGTACGTGTGTAGCACAGAAACTGTGTTAACAATTGTTTTTTCTCTGTTAATTTTTGCCGTTTTGAATCAGGCTGAAAATCAAATTAAACAACATATTCATCTTAAGATCAGCATATGTACCACTTCAGATTGATGATTAGCTAAACAGATTATCGAAAGAACATCGATATGTCTTTCTCCTATTCTCCTAGAACTACTATCATTTATTTTTTTCTCGTCAAACTCCAGAAATTTAAGTAACGTAAAACTGATCAATAGTTTGAATGAATATATAATAAGTTGATCAAATGAAGGAGATATTGAATTACTATATATCCATAATTCCCATGTACTAAAATATTGTGGATATTATGTTCATCTCGCATCGTATAAACGTGAGTAATGCATATTATGAAAAATAGAATTATGTAAAATGTCCCTGGAGTCGAGATAGAAGTTTTTTGATATTTTTGTTCTAATTTATTCAGCTGTGTCATAGCTATCTAGTCGTTTTTCCTGGAGTAATACGGCATAGTTAGACTCGTATGTATTTTTCCTTTACGTAATCTCTGTGTTTGAACATTAATAGCACATCAGCGTATTGGACGTTGTGAGTATGCTTAAATAAAAGTAGCTATTGGATTCATTTGGGTATTGACGTTTACTAATAGTTCTTTTTATTTCAAGCTGAAGACGTGCTTGACAGGTATTGAAAATAGTAACACGGGGAACGGATATTGAATGTTTAAATATGACATAGGTTTTCATTATTGTGAACTATGAACTATATTGAATATTGATAATGACCTATGGCATATGTGAACAGTGCAATGCCTGTGTTGTATGAGGTTTTTATTTCATGGAATTTTTCATCGTTATATTCAAGGTCTGCGAAAATCCCCAAAGTATAAACCCTGCAAACTTGTTTCATTAAGATTAAGTTTAGGCTACAGACGTTGCAGCAAGAAATCTAAACCCTGCAATCTAAACCTTGCCAGGAACGACATCGCAAAAAATTGACACAAAAACTTTAAGCGCTTCACAGTTTAAACTTGACGATTGATCAACATAGTAATTTGTTCACAGGTCAATTGTATTGTCCACTATGCCAGAACACATACCGTAGGAGCTAAACACATATTAGAAAACTGACAAGTATACTAACAAGATATAATAGATTGAGCTATTTAAAGACTTTGAAACATTGATTGTGATAAAGCTTTTTCTCATCTGAGTTAAAGACAAATTTGACATAGTTTCCATATATATATACAGCAATATCATTCAAGATAATTGATAACTATAAAATAACTTATGTTTTGCAATCTAAAACATTCCATCCAAGTAAATGTACTATTATTGGTTAATATTAAAATATTGATAGGTAGTAATATTATTTACCTTTCCATGAAAGTATTCATTGTGATATTACTTAAGAGGGCAATTGATCCATAAACATTTATTAATACTATTTACATGTCAATTAAAGTGTTGGTTAAACTATTACTTGTGCGGAATAAACACGTGTTTGACATTTTCCTTATCTAGACAATGGTACTGTGCAAGGAACACTTGTTGAGGTGCAGGCAGTGATGACATGATGCAGAAGGACATACGGGGGTTCTGTGGGGTTTGTTGATTTAGTGTAGGGGAACGTGTTACGTGTTGGGGGAACAGACATGGTTATCATAATTAAAACAGTGGACGAAAACAATAGATATGTATATACGTACTTCTAATTGGTATAGTATACGGTATTCCGTCTTTGCGTATTGCAGAGTTATCTTCTCTTGTGACAGGTATTGATTGTTACGTCATTGGTTTGTGTGAGAAAATTACGGCGTTTTCTCAAAAATTGATGACGTTTCTCTCACAAACAAATGACGTAACAATCAATACCTGCTCACAAGAGCAGATAACTGTGCAATACGCAAAGACGTCATACCTTCCACATAATCTTTCAATTGCATTTTGAATATACCATTTCGACCATCACGTATAATAGAATCATAAAAAATGCGACTGGTTTTCAGTAGATTTATTTGTTTTATATGTAGTAAATTTTGAAACTTACATAAAACAATACGAACTATACTTATAATATATTTGTGATACAGTTTGAAAGGCAATCATCATAAGAGTTTGATACAAATCTTACATCTTAAAATACAAATCGCAAGAGAGAATGAGTTGGCATACATTTACGAGTCATTAGTACTGCTTCTCGTTATTTGCATATTAAGCAAATATCGTTCTGATGATCATCTTCGTTCAACGAATACGTGAGCAAAAGCTAATTTCACAACGAAACTACACAAATTGTAAAACGATTGTTTAAAATGTTAATGGAATTCCACAAACATTAGTTTTCACATTTTGACAGACGATCAGGAGGCCCTGACCAAAGTTTAGTTCTCGACTTGAGGTGTGTCATCTTTAAACTTCTCCAAGTAAAAAGCAGGCATATAAGCAGTTCCAGTCAGTATCATCTAAAAGTGAATCAATTAGATACACGGTACCTCCATATTTCAGATGCTATTAAAAGTTACCTGTAGATACGTCGCCATAGGGAAAACATTCAAATTTAACTCATCCCCTTTCAAATGCTACATTGCGTTATCCTTACCCGTCCTTCTTGCCTTATTGAATATAAGTCCCGACAATACTTTTTAATGTATGCCTTAACTAGAATAGAATTGAGTCGACGTTTCAATTGGTTCTTTTTACTCGTTGCTAGGTCACGTATGTATAAACAGTTACGTCCTGCCGACCGAGTACCAACGTTAACGGTGATAGGTGTTGAACAGGACAAGTACACACGTAAATCAGTTCCGTGCTGGGTGCTTTGTACAAAACAATGCTGCATGTGCAAAACAATTAAAAGCAAAAACATTGTAGTATCATGATTAATGCTACAAGACAAAGTCAAAATAAAAATAAAAATGAAAAATAAAGGACAAAGGCATCGTCATACGGTTTTGAAATCGGTAAACAACTGTGTACGGGGTCACTTCCTAGGCGGCTCGGGTATTTTGTACACTCTGAGTTCTATTTTCCAAGAAAGAGTCATTCACGTGTAAAACTGTCAAGGAGCATGTTTTATACACGTCATTCATAGAACATGCCGCTTATAAGGAATTAGCAACACGAAATCTGCGGTTTGATGTCATTCACATTTGTTCATGGATGGTAGGATTTACACATTTTCATCCTATTAAATGTCTTATGCTTTAGGATCAAAGTGACAAATCCATGCCGATCAATGACAATTTAGAAGTGAATGTAGCACAACCTATGACCTTTCTTGTGTAAGAAATCAAAGTGTAACATAAGCCTGTTGGTCCTTACCCAAGAAACACGGTCCTCATACTTCCAGCTCGACAGGTAGTTTTGCCTGCAATACATTTATAGTCCATTATTATTAAAGACACATCTCACAATAAACGTTTATATCTTGGAATTCAAACACGCGTAGATCCACTATCACAGATTTCATTTTTAAACAACATAAGTAGTCCATTTGAAAAAAAAGTTTCGATAACAAGTTTCGATAATATTTTCCAAATTTCCAGTATTTTGCGCACCAACTCTTGGCTTGAAAGACATCCCACGCATATTCCCACGCCATGCCCGTTTGACCATATGTACATGTGACGTCAACCACTCGTGTTGGTTTCGGTTGTCTGAGAAATGCTTTGCCTTTTACGACCACGACCCTTTCCTCTATCCTTGCGTCGACGATTTTTCTTGCGATTTTTCTTCCTATTCTTTTTAGGACGGTTCCTATTACTCTTTCTATTACCGCCTCTACCACCGCCCCCTTTCGTGGGAGGGGGAGGATTACTACCCCCTGGCTGTTCAATTAATTCTATAATTTTACTGCAATCAAAATCACCTTTTATTTTCCGGAGCGCTCTCTTGAACTCTCTGTCCTTCCTCCACGGACCGATATATGAGACGGTGAACACTCCCGACTCTGTCTTGTTTCCCATTATAATGTAGGCATCACTCCTGCTTGTATTGACTGTGGTACATTCACACTGGGCTCCGTTTTCGATCACCAGGTTCAGTTTCCTCTTCTCGCGTTTGGTCAAAGTGCCATGCTTATAAAATTTCTTTTTCTTCTTGAGAACCAGTATTTTTGACTGTCTTTTCGTTTTTATCTTTCGCACTTTGACCTTTGCAACTGGGGAAATAAAATACAAATATTTGCACGCTTTTTATCAACAGTGAAAATTATATCGACATATCAAGCAAACAGTTAAATATTTTCACTTACATCCAATTGGTAAAATACATTTAAATCACCTTTTACGTTAAATGCAATTTCTCCCACACTTGACTTTTACATTGCCGTTTTTGCAAAGGAAAAAGCTCACACGCGTCATCACTTTCGCAGCGTTATCCGAGTTCCGTCATCAGTTTTGTTACATATATCATACCATAATAAGCGATGGCGCGGTGTATTTGGTTCACCATTACAATTTCGGGTATTTTTGTACGATAGGGAAGTGTGAGAAAAATTGTTCAATAGTTCGTGTTTGACGTAGACAGGGAACCCCTATCCCTCGGGTAAATAAGTGGTATTTTGGTGGTAATTTAATGAGAAAACAAACTGTACAAGTTAAACAATTCCAATTGGTCACTTTCAGAAAATAATGCCAAATCAGTTGTACTTCATGAAATAGGTATCTATTATTATCACATCCTAATAAACTAGAAACAACATGATCCAGAGCAAAGTATACTTTTATCATCATTATTGTTCGCATCTCTCAAGATGTTGAAATAAAATATTATTGAAAATTAAGTTATTTAGGGTATGAAGTGTCATATTATAATAACTAGGGTAGTTTCGACCAATAAAAAAATAAACAAAAAGCTACCGTTAACTTAGTAACTTTAGGAGATATTTTCTGTATGTGTAGAATACTACATGCTTTCGTTGGTACTAGTGGTCCACGAATTCATATACCTACGTAATTGTGTTTTTGGGAAAACTACGAAATTTGGGCCCGATGAACATATACGATTTCAGAGAAGAGTATTCTAAAATAGGAAAGCCAAACATATACATAAGTATATTATCTTTAGAATAATAAATGACGTGACGTTAACATATATTTAAAATCTCCTGAAGTCTGCTAACAATATTGTGACGAATTGTCTTGTTAATATATAATTGGTCTCTATATAATTATGTTCAACTGTCAATATATTCGAGTCAAGTTGTTTTCGGTTCATTATGAAACACGAAATTAGCAATTTGTTTTTAACTGCGAGCAAATGTTTGTTTTACTTCATATTGTGACTGAGAGTGCTATGGGAACTATTTTTTTGTATTTATCTACACATGCAAGAATTGCTGATAGTACTTCTTATGTCGTTTTCGTCTACAATTATTCATATTTACACAGCCGGACAGTAACCAGAAGTGATTTACTAAAATGACGACCGACATAATGATTCACTTTTCCAAATCTATATATTGTGATTATCTCTAAACACATTTGAATACACGAAATAAACACTTTAACAGAAATATTAGCGATTGTGGTGAAGATTTCACGGTGTATTGCAATGCATGAAAAAGTATAGAAAAACATGTTGAATATGCGACTGTACTGGCTTGAAGGGTGCATTTTCAATTGATCTTATATTTCGGTACTTACATAGTCAAAGTACACCGCCTCACACTGTTGAAATAACTTGTATGAATCAATATCCAACAATCATGATAAAAGAAGTAGGGTTAAGATATTTAGACACTTACCGAACTGGGCTCGACAGTGGTTGTCAACGATTCCCTCTAACGTAGGGGGCTGATTGCATGCATCACACACATTCTGTGTTGCTGGAAAATACAATAAACAATAGTTTAGACTACAACCAGGTTAAAATACTACACTTTTTGTGATGCAACCCATAATTGTATAGCTTAAAATTATGTGATGTAACATTTTACAACACCACAACATTATGTGATGTAACATTATACAACACCACAACATTATGTAATGTAACATTTTACAACACCGCAACATTATGTAATGTAACATTTTACAACACCACAACATTCTATGATGTAACATTTTACAACACCGCAACATTATGTAATGTAACATTTTACAACACCACAACATTCTGTGATGTAACATTTTACAACACCACAACATTATGTGATGTAACATTTTACAACACCGCAATATTATGTGATGTAACATTTTACAACACCACAACAGTATGTGATGTAACATTTTACAACACCACAACATTATGTGATGTAACATTTTACAACACAACATTATGTAATGAAACATTTTACAACACCACAACATTCTGTGATGTAACATTTTACAACACCGCAACATTCTGTGATGTAACATTTTACAACACTACAACATTCTGTGATGTAACATTTTACAACACCACAACATTATGTGATGTAACATTTTACAACACCACANCATTTTACAACACCACAACATTCTGTGATGTAACATTTTACAACACCACAACATTATGTGATGTAACATTTTACAACACCACAACATTCTGTGATGTAACATTTTACAACACCACAACATTATGTGATGTAACATTTTACAATACCACAACATTCTGTGATGTAACATTTTACAACACCACAACATTATATGATGTAACATTTTACAACATCACAACATTATGTATTGTAAAATACAATAGTATATAATAAAATCTGGTTAAATGTCGTAATAGCAAACATTCTTTGATGAAACATTAACATTTATAGATTAAAATCAGGTTGTAAAACAACCACGGCACACATTCTGTAAAGGAACATAAATAAAGTTATAAGTTAAAACCAGTTTGAAACAGACATTGCAAACATTTTGTGATGGAACATATACTAGTACAAATGAGAATAGCATTTCAAACACATATACCACACACATTGTTGGAAGCTGGAAGCTTGCCTACATTCTTGTGCATTTTGAAGTGTGTTATCAATTACTAGACAATGCACAAATTACCATTAAAATATAAATTATGAGAGATCACTTTTGGAATGGATACCAAAATTACAGTTACATGTATGCTGAAGTCGTGGATCCATTTCCTACACTCGAAAATTTTGTTCTTTAATTTGTCTCTCTCGCTAAAATAACATTCATTTATTTTAGCGTTTCGCCCTGAAAGTATTTCTATAGTTATTTACGATCTTATTGGTCTGACTAATCTTATACAGTTATCACGATATAACGATGTGTTGGACATTACAACTATACACTATTTATTACCTGATAGCTGATTCAATGAAAACATCCATGTTATATATGCTGCCTACAAATGCGGGTAATAGGACTTATTGCGGCGTCATAAATGATAATGAAATGAAGTCACAAACTTTCATATTATTCTATGACGTCACAATAAAGACAAGAAAGCGAACAAAAATCAGATTTCGAGAGACGTAGAAACGCTTGCCTTTTGACAATATTGCAAATATCCTTGGTCATGTGGAAAAGAGGTTTTGCATTCGTTTTTATTTTACTTGAGATTTAATCATTTCGTTCGGACACTTTATTCAGTTCGGCAGAAGCTTTCTAAAATGAAAATGTTATACACACATTTCATTAAAAAACAGACTTAATAGAAACATATGTAAGATTCTACATTCACGAGTATTTTGTATTTCCGAAATCTAATAGAAATTCAAGCATTTAAGAAATCTTACAATTTTGCGGTTATGTCATGAGTAATTAAATTGTAGTTGAGTATATTCATAATTCTCATATACAATAACATTAGCTCTGCTTAATATACATAACATAAACAACCTACGTCGAATCATATACTGAAGGGGGTAAATACAATCTGTATATGAACTGGGGTCTAAACAAATAAGAATGTAGTCCTTAAACCCCGAGTACACTATTAAAATGTTGAACAACGCCGCGAATCTATCCCTCTTAGTGTATATACGTGGTTATTTTCCCATGGGTTACATTGTGGAGCAGTAAATCTCCTCAAATAACGGTTTGACAAGCGTTGTGTTGAGGCAGTCAACCGTTCATGACACGAAAACGAGTAAGTTGATATGGATTAAATATGTAAAGCAAGCCATGCTCCCCAGTACATATCAAAGCCACAAAAACGTCATCTTGTCGGTCGGTGCGCTGAATACATCTTATGAACAGTTTACCAAATTTTACCTTGCCCTATCGCTTTACCAAGATTTGACATTTATCGCAGTGGCTACAGTAAAACGCACAGGAAGCGGTTTGGGATACCCGAATTATAAAGTGTTATCTTTATTGCTTGATATTAAGTGTCAAACAACTCATGTATCCTCTTTAGTCTTCGTCGTGATTGCAGTTTAAAATTAAACTGTGTCTTTTTTAACCTTTTAGTCTCATAATTATACTTGTTGGTATTTAACAAATAGAGAAAAACTACCATAACGGCAACATACGCTTACAGGAACGTAAGTCAACGTTGATACAAAGAGGAAAAATTCTGCAGAAACTGTCTGAACTGACTACAGTTATCAACATCCTACTTAATCCGGTGTCTACTGTTTAAGGCAAGTTTTGATTTCGGAAATAAATTAAATTTGAGTGAAAACGTATATTTTAGTCATTAGAAGCACTCGATATAATCTTTAACAGCATATATGTCTTATTCTGTGTTTTTTTACAGGGCTTGCATCTTGATTTGATTCAAGTAGCATTGGCACAAAACATTTTGCCGTAATACTTATCTTGAGTAAAAATGTAAACACATTAGGAAATCATTTCTTCGCGTAAGATTTATTTTTACTTATGTCTTAATGAATGTGTTCTGATCTTAATTTAATGCAGGTTTCAGGGAAGCAACCAAAACGAAGCAATCCGGAGTAGAGTACAGGGTCGTATTTGTAAAGATTCAGTGTAATGCGTGACGTACACTAAGGATAAATGTATTGTGTCGCTATAGTCGATAAAATACAACAGCAGATACGTGTCTGTAATATATGTAAGTTTAGGGAAAAGGACCAAATGTACAACTCCAGCACGAACTACTTTAGAAAAAGGATACAAAAACGAGATATGACCGTCTAGATATTCCAAACATGAATGCTAATTTAGGTCTAAGAGTACAGTAACAGCCATTGCGAATTGCTACTTTAAGAATCCTGCACATAGCGTTTAGCTCAATCGGGGAACATTTCGTCATAATTTTATATAAAAATAACTATGTATTTTTTGTTTTAAGAGCTTTAACAAACATTCTAATGATTCCACTAGCAGTATAAATAACCGAGGGAAGCCCGAGTACCCTATATGAACATATTGTACGCCAAACAGATTTATATGGAAGTCTGACAAATTCTAGGGGGCATATGGAGTACGACACAATACTTCAAATATCGAGGAAAGCCTAAATACTCAAGTAACAGACACACAAAAACACAGATCTAGAGGGATGCGATAAAAACTCTAGGGGGCACATGTATTACGACATACTAATCCAATAATCAAGGAAAGTTAAAGTACTCTAGGAGCACGGCACACCAAAACAAAGGGAAGCGTGGACAACTTTAAAGACACATGGAGTACAACACACTACTTCAAATATCGAGGAAAGCTTGAGTGCGCAAGGAGCACATGTAATACGACACACAAAAACAGATGTGGAGGGAGGCGTGAAAATCTGTAAAGGCACATGCAGTATAACTACTCTTCAAATAGTGAGAAAAGACTGAAGTTATCAAGGTCAAAAGCAGTGTGAAATCCTATTTCATATCTTGAGGAAGGTCTGAACTCAGCTGAAGGCACAGCCAGTGCGATATACAAATGCAAAACTCGAGGGGAGGCTAGATTACTCTAGAGACACGCATTACCAGAACGACATACTACCACAAATGTCGAGGGAAGTCTAAAGTACTCTGGGGGCACAATTTGTCACCACGTTTGTCAAGCCGAGGAAATGCCGAGTGACGAATGTACCTACCAGGGAGAGTCAGTGGAGAACTTCTCCGATCTAACACAGATTGTATGTGTGATTTCACGGTATGTGATATATAACAGATAAGCATACGGTATCTGTACATCAAGAAAGCTTACACCTGCAGCTAATATACCGTCAACTCAACCTGTTTTTATATTACTTTGTAAACCGCAAGATTACGTGTCGCTTACTACCGAAAAACACGTTTCCTTCATCATACATAATATATTCCATACTGCTTGTTACACTGAAGCGAGACTGCTATTGAGGTTCTACATACAAAGACATAACTCATGGTATATTAATGAAATAATGTATGAAAATATGTAGAGTATATTAAGTTCATGCGTCTTTTCCACTAAACATGTTTATGATGATAAATATACTACATAACGAATTCCTTGCATCGATGACCCCCTACATGTAAAACACCTTTTCTCGGTCTTACCTTCGATTGACATCAAACCGAAATACAGTTTTTGCTGTCAAGGAAATTTCATTATATTCTAACGTCATTTTGAGACAATCAAGTTTTTCATTGACCTGCTATAGTCTGTTAATGGGTGATCATGCCTTCCTGGTCAATGAAGGATTTGCATTCGTGTCCGAGATGTAATAAGTAGGACTGAAACGATTCATCCAGTTGTATCGTAGCGTGATACTTTCTTTTTTATCACATACCTGTTGAATCTTGTTATAGTAATGCAAGCAATTTTCAGACCATGAAATACAACGTTCTGTATTGCACATGTTCAATACGGAATGTTGTATTTACCTACTAGCCGGAACTACTTTTTATGGGAACCCCCTTGTCGTGGCGAACTGAAAAGTTCCCGATATTTGCAAAAAAATATCAAAGTTTATAAAATTTTTGTATAA